CTAAAAAAATGTGTCAAACGTTTATTCTGGTTTACTGCACCCCTTCATATTGGAACATAGTTTCAGAGTCACTAAAAATTGGTCCCGTTTCGAGACCCAGACCGTCATCATTTCTTTCTTGTTCAACTTGATGCCCCACTTGTTCTCCTTGTGGTAGAGATACTTATACGCCTTGACAACAGTCTTATCAGCACTGGCCGGTCGTTTTTTGACAATAGATTGCTTGCCAGATTCCGATGGGGCGTCCACCTTAGCAGCAGGCCTTTTGGCCACTAGCTTCTCTTTCACTGGCTCGGCATCTGAAGGTGGTGTTGCCTTTGTTTTTGCCGCTGACTTGGCCTTGGCCTTCGACGCAGCTTTCTTCGGCTTGGCCTTACTCTTCACAGCAGCAGCAGCTGCCACGGCCACGGTCTCAGGTGTCTTCTCAGGTATTCTCTTGCCAGACGGTGACACCTGGCCCTTCTTCAAATTGGCCCCCTCATCGTCATCTGACAGCGCGTCAACATTAATAAAAGGCATTTGCAACCTGTCAGGTTGAATCGGCCTCTGACTCCTAATTTGAGCCACCGACTAATGAATGACATGTCACCCCAAGCGCGCATTGGTTTTAATGTGAGCTGTTACAGCGACAACAACTCTCCATCTTTATTGGGTAGCGACGACAGATCAAAAAATTGTGGCAAAGTTAAAGTTGGACATCGCAGCCAACTTTTGAACCCTTCATGCGCTGAGACGACGAGGCGAGCAGCGTTCACACGTCAGACATTGACATCAAAAGATGCCACCAGAACTCCTTGATGGACTGTCAACTGTCGATTTTGAACTGAGGGTGATTCGTTCTAATACTAAGTGAGCTTCATAGCAACTGAATCAGCCAGGCCAAGGAAGAGTCGATGCACCCTAAGCCTACTAGCCCTACCTTGCGACGTTCAACCCATTTCAACCCAATCTCTCCAAATCAAACAGAATCTCACAAGTTGTTTCTGAACTATTGTTATCTACCACATCATCACGATACGCATGATGATACTTAGCATATAAGTCTGCTTGACGATGAGGCGGGTTGACAACTTGAAATTGAAGAGCCGTTTCGCGAAGCTCACTTCAGCTGCAGTGCTGTGTTGACAGGCACATTCACATTGCAAGTCAACCAAAGTTTCGGCTTGAGGCCCTGCACCATCTTATGATCAAGGCGAACCTGACATGACATGGGACGACAACTGATAGCGTTGGCTGTTTTGAAATGCATCGACAAACACCAACCTAGTACAATTAGCAAAACATCGAGTTAATGTCAGGCAACCTCCCACAGTGTCTGGCAGGTCATAGATTTTGGCACTCTAGCAAACCCAAAGTCACGATATGCTGCACCAAACATGGAAGCTCGCAAGTCCGCCCAATTCGAATCGGATGGCAATTGCTTCGGCTCAAAACAGTTCAATTTGGTGTGAGGCGTGACTGCGTAACGAAAGGGGACAGGCTTCTGATCCTGGCACAATAGGAATGAATTCACAAGTCACTTAATAAAGCTGAAAAGGAAATACCGAGAAAAAATGTCAGTGCCCTCTTCTAGCGTGCCTCCATTTTTTTCTGGAGGGTGTGGTCGTCAAGAGAGAGCTCAGTGACACCATGTTTCTGGGCTGCTTCACACGCAAGTTCAGCGATGCAGGTCGCAGTCTTGGCGCCCTGCTGAACCAGAACCACCAAGTCCGTGTCATTGGTGAACTGGTATGGGATCAGCAGCTCTCGTCCAGTGAGGAGGCCTGAACAATTTAACAAAAGCGACATCAACATACCATGATACTTCGAAGAACCAGTCCCCAGCCTGCCGTCTTCTGAGAATTGCTACCCAAGTTGAAGCCACACAACTCCCCAGGGCCCACATCACATGCTGTGCTGGAACTATTTAGCAGCCACAGTTCGCCACCGTCAGTCAAAATAAGCTTCAGATCGGAGTGCAATGTAGGATGGCAAGTCGCTTTTGCCCTAGGCAAACTACAAAATGCAAAAGGCTAGGCTGGGATCCTAATACACTTGGGACAATCGCAGCTGTTCAACAAGCCAAGCGACACTTTCTGCGTTTCAAACTCTGCTTGTGAAAGGGAGAACGGTTCCACGCTCCGCATGACATCCAACGGTTTGTCAGTTTCTCCAAACACTGGACGACACAATGTTCGGGTGGGATTAGGCTCCCGTCCTGGATCAGTTCGCGAGGTTGACGCTGCATGAGTGACTGTCACAGTGCTGGATCCCACATTCAAGTTTGTCTTCGCGTTCCAGGCTTGCAACTTCTTCTGGAATGCCCTGGCCTTGCCACCTAGCGAGTCCTTCACAGGCCCTGGCAAGCTCAACCTGACAGCATCGACCGCGCAGCACTGGCACAAGCAGCAGCCGTAACATGAGGCCGTTCCATCGAATCAAACAGTCATTCTTGCATTCTGGCATTGGAACGCAACTAAAGAATTTTGAATACTGCGACCGGAACACTTTAAAGAATCGGCATCCTTAGCCAAAAGCTTCAGTGTGGGCAACGGCTCATCGAACGGCGATGCATCTCGTTTCTGAGGTCCTGCGTCACTGCAAGTGTCCCAATAGTCCTTAAGCACGACACGCAATCATGCAGAAACACTGGGCCACAGCTGCAGTGTGAAAAACATTGGTTGTGAAAGTAATTGAAGCTGCAGCCAAAAATCTTGCATCACACGCGTGTTGATGAAGGTTCGCAGGGTACCGAAATCAGCAGCGTCACTCTGTTCCCCGATCAACGACAAAAAGCGCCAGTCAATCCCGCGGGGCGCATCTAAATGCGTGAGCTGCAAAGACAATACTGCCCGGCCCGACTCATTTAACCTGTCAGCCAATTGTACAAACATTATATAAACAACATTATTGTTATGTTGCGTTGCAAAGCTGCTACAAAAACAGTGGTGAAATAAAGTTGTTTTTTGCTGAGATGCTTGTTTGGCAGCAAATCCAGCACATACAACCGCTTGCTCTCCAGGTCAAGACCATCTGTAAGTGCTTTCAAGATCTGGACGGTCCCGTCTACACCACGCTGCTGAGCCTTAAAAGGTGTCAACACATGGACTTCTACACTTGATCAAACTTGTGAAGGCTACCTCTGCTCTGACGGGTCTGAAGGAAGAAACTGTGCAGGACAGGAACCCTTTGTGATGGAGAGGCTGGCTTGTCGTCGTCAAACGACCAAAGATCCACTACCCTGGCCCTGTCAACAGGGCCCACAATGCCCTGCTGCAAGGCTTTCGACTTGGAAAAAGGCAAGTTCTTGTGCACGGATGAAAGCGCTATCACACCTCAATCTGAACAGAATCAGTTACCAACATTCAACATCTGTCTTCTTGCTGAAACTCCGCATCCCAAGCAATCAAATGTTCATATCCACTAAGCAAAAACTCCAGGATAATAGTAGATGCTGAAACATTGAGCCTGGGGACATTGATGGCTCCTTTTTCGACGATCATTCCCATGTGAGGCCTCTTTGAAGTTCACTGTCACCTCATGGATGTCCGCGAACCTTGGCCATGAGTTGTCATATGACTGTATCATTGAATTATAGTCCATTGTTTTTTTTGAAAATCACCTGAACTTCATAACTTAGTAACTGCATCAAACGATCTTCTAACAATCGCCGGTTCTTGATGGTCGACGCCTTCTCCACCGACGAGTGGTGAATGGGAAAGAGCACAAAAAGACAGGTGTTCGGATTGGCTGTCGTGATTGATCTGGCAGCTTCGCAGGCCTCTTCCATGTCCAGACTTCCTGAGATCTCAAAGAAATCGAGCAATATTATATGATAAGTTCAATTCAAACACAGACTGTTGCAGCCAACACTGACTGATGATTCAAGCCACTTGGCGGGAAGACTGAGCAGTCCATGAGCAAAAGCGTGAACCTTGCCACATCGTGTAAAAATGACTCCAAGGCTGTCTCGATTTTTAAATGTGATCTAGCATTGGAATGAAACGTTTTCACCCGCATATACGCGCATGCTTTTGCAATGACTGCCACTAGGGGTTGCACGCGTCTCCTCCATCTGACATCTCAGATTGGAAGCGGAGAAGGGGTGCATGAGCATCAGCCAACGTGGTGCTAGCTTCGTAGCGTTGGTGACCAGTTACAAATTTCTCTGTCCATTTCAGGCCTTTCTCATATCGGGTGCTCAAGTAGAGGAGATCTAGATTTCCCTGCAGACAAGCTGCCAAGCAAAGACTGCATGTGGCAGAACACACCACCATGAGCATAATGGAAAGATCAATGAAAAACAACTCGCAAGCATGGCTCCTGTCTGTTTGCATGGTCCTGAGCTCGGGCCAGGTACGTTTCCATCTCAGCCAAGTCCTGCGTGACAGTGTGCTCCGTCTGGTGCATTGTTGCATTTGCCACGTCCGCTGCGATCCTTCAGGACGGGAGCCAGTGCGCAATCACAAACAAGAGATCAAGTCAGTGGTTCGCAGACGAATGCTGAGTTCAACGAATCCATCAATTGCAAACTGCAAAGAACAAAATTGAATTGCAAATGAGCACCGCAATTAAAGAGTCAATTGCAACCTGAGCACTTCTCTGCAGCAGCAGCTTTGCTCTCCGCAGCCTTTTCGGAAAGTCGAAACACGAATACTGCAGCGCATAATACAACTAGTGAAAAGTTGTTGGAAAGTGCTGCTCCGACCTCCTTCTCAAATTTGCTGCAGGGACCTCTGAAGATGCCAATCTTCTTCAAATCAATGGGCGGAACACTCTCGGAGAGTAGGTTGAACAAATCATTGTCTGCATGACGCAGCATAAACCTGGGGTCCGGCAAAACACTTGTTAAGACGACTGTTACACTGGAATCCACCATCACATCGTGGCCAAGCAACGCTTTCCGAATGTTATCCTCTTCCTTCTTCACAAACTCATTTGGATAGCTCGCGGCAAACGCTTTCCAGCAAGCCAAGAAAGCAGCACAAACACGTTGCAACGCTTCCTGAAAGAACCAGCTCTCACCAGGCGACTGGTTCACATGTCATACTAATACAAGACTTTAGGCGGTAGCTGTCACTGCTATATAAATGCAACGAAGACTCCACCTGGTTGAAAGTGTACGGCTTCCGAAACTTGAGTCCAGTGCTGGAGAAATCCGAATCCATCCGATTGCACAGTAACTCAACAACCTCCAAAGTATTCAGCAACTGGGCCTGCCAGGCAGTCATGCAAGAAGTAGCCGTGCATGTCTCGCGGTTGAAAGCGCCCTGAGCAATCGCATCGTGGGTCAAGAACTTGTTGAGAGTCCATCGCCTCAAACGCACATCATCTATAGTCACGTTCTGTGTGTTATCAAATCCAACTGGCCAATCATTATTACTTTTTGTCAGATGAGTCACTGCACCAAAGATGTCAACCAGCTCACAATGGCAGGATCAACGTTGTTCAGCAAGTTATGAGCGGCGGTCGACTCTGAACGGCCTATCTTGTAGGCCTCCGCGATCGAGGAAGCCTTCTCCCAGACCTGCCACGAAGCACCAATGAACAAATTGATTGGCGCAACTGGTTCATCCTATTTGGGGCACTTGCGGGACACTGTCATGACAGGTTGCATGTTTTCAAACCACAGGCTGGCCTCCGTACCACGACAGTTTGGCGTGCGTGCCATCAGCTTCATCTGATGCAACAAATTGAAAGCGTTTGGCTTTCTTCGCAACGCAGATGCGAACGTGACTGAGCGATTCTGTATGACGAAGTCGCCAGCTGCTTCGTCATCATCGATGAGTATCACATTGCAGTGGACAGCCCCCAGGCTCCTGATGTCGTAACTAAAAAGATGGCTCATGTTTCGCCATCAATTTCAATCGCACGACAGTCATCTCGCACGCCAGGCGGCTCTCTCGTAACTTCTGGAAGTCCCTGTCACGTCAAGAACCCACATCCGCAACCGCCAAGTAAGTCACTGGATCCAACATACCATGCACATCCATGAACCCTGTGTTCACGAACATTATGTTTCATAAACTGCCCAGAGACCCATCTCAGCCAGCCTTCAGAAATTCCGGTACTTCCCAGGCGCACAGCAGGACAAGGTGCATGCTCAGTACCCTGGTGTATCCCTTCACCATGAAAACACTGTGTGCCCCAAGCATGGCAGGTTCGAGGTCCATGTCTGCGTGTTGTACTATGATGTCGGGTACGCATCCAAGGCTTGGCCGAAGCTTACTAATGACCAAGCGTTTGACCCCTATGTCGTTGCTGTTGGTCTTCATCCCGTCAAGCGCAATCAGCTCCGACAATTGCTGTAGAACGTCCTCGACGACTGGAAGGTAAGACGGCAATGATCACATGATGTTGATGTTACAAACATAATGGTTAATAAACAACAGTTACTCGATGCTACTCTTGCGTCGCCAAAAAATTGTTCATCAACACGCAAAGGGCGGGCTCCACAACACCCTTTAGTCCGCAGTTTGGAGACCACGGCAAATTCCAGGTGCGAAGGCAGGCGTATCCTTGAACATCCAATGATTTCGGTGTCCCATAGTGCCTAAGGCTCATGAGCTGTGTTACGTTAACCTAAGTTATTTTCGTTTGAAACCTATTCTCAATGATACATAGTAGCTCTAGGAGTCCGATCTAGTAGGTTCACTCCAGCAGTAATTGGTGCACTCCAGTTCAGGCGCGGACAAATCTGGAACGCGCATAAATGTATCTTCCTGCCAGCGCAAGAATTTGGCGATCGTCTCCTGCCAAGGTCATGGAGGCACAAATGACAGGCGCCAGGCATTTTACGAACACACGCTACGTTTCCTTTGTGTCCAACTTCGTGTTGAAGTACCGATCGATGGAGCCACATTCATCCACAGCTTTCGACCTGATTGGGTAAGTTTCTGTGAGATCAACTTAGAGAGGGCTAAGGATCAATAGTGAACACAGTCACACTGAACCAAATTGCTATCAAAGTAGCCACCACTGTTGATACAGTTTTATGTAATGCGGATCAAAGCATGACTGCTGTTCCTCCTTCACCTTAACCGCCTTCTGCGACCTCGCCTCACCACCTGTAGAGCCTTTGCGCTTCGACATGCTGATGTTACGAACCCCCGCCCGTGAAGCCAAAATCTCATGACACGTCCTGCAGTGAAAGAGGCTTGCAAACTCACTGAACATTTACGCAATAATCGTGAAAGGCCCATCGGCAAGTTAAGCTAGACATTCTCAAACCAGTTCAGCCACGTGGTGAACGTGACAAGCAGTGACCCAGAAGCGGACGGACCTCCCAAAGGCCAAGCAGGTCCAAATCAGACCTGGCAAAAAGGGGAGGGCTGAAAAAATTACAATGCCGTCAGAAATTGGGTTGCTCACCATGTAGTCCGTCAGAAAATATGTTTTAAAACTTCCGATCCGTCAGAAAAAGTTCAACTGCTGCTGACACTACAAATTTTCTGCTTGCTGGCATCCGCAGCCGTCAAAAAACACAACAAGACCAGCAGGGATTCGTTGAATAATAATAGTAATAGTATGCAGTGTTCCCTGGTTGAAGAAATGTGACGGCTCAAGATCACAGGATTGTGAATTCTGACGTCTCCCTGGTTGTGACAGGTAGTTTGTGACGTGCAGACCTGTGGTCACTTGGTTTTCTGCTTGCTGCCACCCTCTCCAAGCACAAACTGGAAAAACGTCAATAGATAGCACTCCGTTACCAAACATCAAACTCACCTCAGAGACCAGGCTCGTAAAATACCATGCCGCACCCAAATTTTTGGACCGTTTTCGGATTTCCACAGGCGAGATTCATCACAAAGGCCGTGCATTTCACAGCCAGATGTGTTGTGCTTGCCAGCCAGGCCCCCAAGCACTGAACGCATGCCAACATTAGCACGACAACCAAATTCAAGGTGTCCAACACCTTCAACACAACAAGTATCTATCCCCAGCACATGTTGTTTTGCTTGCGGAGCAGCTCCACAGTCACATAACGACGTGTCCTCTCAGCGCTTGCAAATGTTCAGAAATTAGCCAGCAAACACTCCCTAAGAACTCAGATGCCTGATGTCGGCCTCCATTCACACACCAATGCGGCTTGGAGAGCAGCCTCCCCTCAAACACTACCTTGATATCCAATATTCTATTTGGGTGTCAATTAAATTCCATGCCTGGTAACATCAAAAAACCATGCAGCAAAAACACGACCACATCAATTTAGTAATCAACACTAATATACACTAATCACTAATCTCCAGCTTCAAACGCATCGGTTGCGATGGAAAGCGCTTCGGTCCAATTGACCCCAGCTCCCCATAGCTTTGCAGCAGCTCGGTAAATATGAACGTCTCGAGTTTGGCTCACATACCTGTTCAAATGCTTCCGGCTCAAAGGCTCGTGCCTCACTCTCACCAGATTGGCATCCTTGGCGTGAGCAAGAATGTAGCCGCGAAGGCAAAATGGGACCCTGTCATCATTCCTTGCATCCAAAACCTCTTGCGATACGTCTATACACCAAGTCTCTCTTTCCAGGCATCGTCCACCAATCACGGCAGCACCAGATGGCCCTGGTCCCACTGCAGCCCCCGGGGCAGGCAAACACCTGCCCAACAAATATCAAGAATCAAGTCTTACCCATGGTTTGGCAACTGAACCCTGAGGCCCTGGGATACACTGACTGGTGAAAGATGAATCCCGCCTGCTGACATCGAGCAATGGACCCCGTTCGAAATCTCCACTGGCTAACTTCTCCAGATGGTCAGCAGCTGCGATCATATCATATGGATCCTGACCTGCTGACAGTTAAAGGGCTACTGTGGAAGTCGGTATCATGTCACTATTTCATGCTACTAGTACCGACTTAATAAGTTGACACCGGTTTGGACAAGGTACGGATGACTTGAGCAAGCTTCGCCCAACTGTCCTCTGTCTTGTGGTCGCGTGGACGGTCTTCGTTGGCAACTGGCACAGCAATTGGACAATTCAATGTCTTGGTTCAAGAAAACACATTGCATTATGTTCTTGACAAGCGAAGGTAAGAGTCTGCTTGCCTATCGGAACAGCTCCTGAATATGCCAGCTCGTGCACAACTTTGGCAGGCAAGTACAGCAAAGGTTCTTGATGCTAGGAGGGATCCGACATGAAGACTCGAGTCCTGCCAGCTGAATCCGGGCCAAGCATTCCGAGTTCCGATCTGATCAAGGAACATAATAATAAGTGTCGTCTCAGAGTCTACCACTATCAAACTCCCAGCGCTAACCCACACAATCACAGATCACACTGCAGGGGAACAGAACAAAATCACTGGGTACTTGTTGGAGCCAATGAACTTAATTATCAATTCAGTGCGGTTCTTTGAGCCTACTGGCGTGCTAATTTAACATTATGTCAAGGACAAGGGCAGAACCTACTACATGACACCACTAGTCGAGAGCGAAAACATCGATGAATCCAACGAATCGTCACACATGAAGCGTCTGATCAAACAAAGTCGCAGGAACACAGAAATTTCGTCTCAATAGCTGGAAATATACAAAGGTATTGAATCTAGCGCATAAAACACACTAGTCTCCTGAACTTTAACATGAGTTCAAAAACTTCACCAGCACCCATCAGTCAGGTCCGGAGTATCACATCATCATCGTGTGGGGCATAGTTGGTCCAGAAGGTATTCTTGATCTGCTGCTGAGTCTCATCTGACAGCAGGCATGGCTCAGACAGTTAAATAATACGCCACAAAAGCATGAACAGCGCCTGGCAACTCTGATCGTCTGTCAAAAGCGAACACATGAGGCGCTGCTGGGCCAGTGATTCCAGCAAGGTGATTGGAGTGACAGCCGTAATGCAAAAAGGTTTTCCTCAGCCAACAAGAAGAATAATGCACAATGCATCAAAATTCATTAAAACCAACATCATTAAGCAATGGCATTGCATTCTTAATAAAACGGAGGGCAGGAAAACGACACTTGCGACTTCTTACCATGACTCCAGTCCCTTACCTGGTCCACCTTCATCACAGAGCGCAGTGGATCATGCTCTCTCACCGACTTGTCCTGCAACCAACCCTCCAAGGTCGTGACAAACTGCTGTGGCGGGTGCAACTCTGGGGACCGCTCGAGCATTGAAGCGACCATCGAAAAAAATTGGTCTACATCCTCGTGGGAGTGCCCCGTGGCTAAGAACCTAAGTTCTAGCCGCGAGACTGTGTGAAGTCCGACCAGGCATGCGCTCCACCTACATAGGCTGTTGTTCTTCGTCTCCCTCGAGCAATTGTCCGATTGGACTATCAGTTCACAGCCCCTGGTGTCAAATGGCAAGCAGTGCACCGCATGGCTCAGGATCTCGCAACACCAACTGCTGTCCTTTCGGACATAAGGTTCAGAAAGGTAGAGGTGGACCAAACTGCCGTGTCCCAGGACCGCACTCATGTCCATGCAGGGACGAACGTAGTTGCTTAGGTCTTTCGACCGGAATATCCTGGACCTGGGAAATCGAAATTTGGCATGATCAATAGCATCGGTCACGAAGCATACAGTTCTCTTCCCGCTTGGCACCATTGGTAGGCAGCTGGCTGAACGCGCAGCCCAATAGTGGGTCCTGTCCCGGTACTGCCGCTGCAAGTGGGCAACAAATTCCCGCATCTGGGAATCCCGGGCAGCCCTGTCATTGCCCAGTTTGCTGATTATCAGCTTGTGCCGGGTGCACACCCCGCACTGGGCGTGTCGCGAAGGCTCCCTTATGCTCAACCGATCACCAAAGCAACGGCCCCAAACCTGAGACTGGCTCAGTCATTGTAAGCCGAAAAATACCACGCACTCACTGTGCGCCCCTTCCAAAGCTTTGGCTTTTGGTTGATGTGGAGGACTTGGGGGCCGTATCACGAAACAAAACGATGTTTTCAAGGAACAGCTGAAAACAGCTTGAGGGAGATGCGTTCAGGGGGATGCCTGGCACGGAGCATGTTCAAGTAGTCCGTGTAGGATCCAGGTGGCAACATCCTCAGGCGTGATGGATCCTTGCATGCACGGTTCACTATTCTTGCCAGCTTTGGCCTCCTGCCACGGAAACGGCGAAACTTCATCACTGCCGACGCTGGTTCTTGTTCTTCATCATGCGCCTTGCGCTTGTTCACCAAATCCCCTTTGGCTTCAGGAATCGGTTCACTCACTGCGTTGTACAGCCACTCCAAAAACTCTGTCACAAGAGCTCTTTTTCTCAAGGAGTCTGTCTTCGTCTTCAGCAGAAACTGTCGAGGGAGAGTCCGGCCATCTATTGGCGCACAGAGATTGCTTAAGGCAGCGCGTCTCAATTTTGTGTACCTCGTACTTCCCAAGCCCAGGAGCTTTTTGAAAGCTCGTTGGCAAATTGTGCGACCAAACAACGCATGCCGCGGAGGACCACAAACATCAGCAGCGGAACGGGATGATGAGATTGACAGCTTCATCACGGAAACCACCTGCCACTGCCGACAATATTATTATCTCTCACATAATAAGTACACTACTATACAGTTCTCTTATCATGTCATGACACATCATGACACGTCCTACCAAATGAATCGCGCGCAGAATCTCTGGGGGGTTAACCTGATGGACTAGTTGCCGTGCTATGACTGAAAAATCAAGGGCCTCATTGTCCATATCCTGCTTGCTCAGTTGACCCAGTCTCACACGCAATTGGAACAAGGGCTGGACATGATCTCGAAACTGCCGAAGGCATTGACGGCCATGATGCGACGCACGCCCATGTTTTGATGTAGCACACTTGCAAACCTGCTGAACCAACCTGCCAAGCACGCCCCTAAGTTCTCCAGGTCGCTGGACCTGCAACCGCTGAGCTTTCAACTTGGCTGCCCCTCTGGCTGGCTGCAGCGTGGGTGGCACAGGATGATTCTGCTCCAACTTACAAGCCACCTCAACTTTTACTGGCGTGTTATCGTCATCAGAAAGATCCTCAACTTGATGGAAGGGCATCAACAGCAGGATCTGTTGTGGCTGCCAGGAGTAGGCACTATAAATATCTATAAGCGGCAATCCATTCAGGCAGCAGCCTTCTAAAAATACAAAAGTGATGAAGTGAAATTCTGCAGGCACATGACAGAATGCAGCACTGACAAAAAAAAGAAACAATTTCATGGCTGCAACTCTGATTTCAACTGCGGGAAATCACACGACTTTTGACCTTCTGCGAAACAAGTTGGTGAGCTGAATTGACTCTGAGGAGCAACGTTGAAACAGCAACGGTCTGAATTAGTATACAGCTGAATAAATCCAAGCACATGGACATCTGAATCTAAGTCCTAAACACATGGATATCGAATTATGTGTCCTGTCTCATCTTAAATGAGCTGGGATGTGCTCTTTAATCTGCGCAAAGCAGCTGATGTTGAGACCTGGACCGGCTCAGGCTCATTTGGCAGCACATTGCTACCTGCAGGCTTAACGCCTGCCAAAACATCGTGGCAACAAGTTCAATTCACTTCACTTGCATCAATCATCTCGATGAATTTCAATCGCCATGTCAATATCTCAGCGCAGCTAGATTCAATGCCATATCAAAAATATTCCAGCTCTGTTTCAGAAACATTTAAAAACAGAAACAACATGAAACATCAGGCAATGGCATTTAGCCTGGTGATATCCGGGGCCGTTTCCTTGATCGCAGGCAGTCTCCTGCCACAGAAACTAAACTGGAAGGTAGTTGCTTTTCACTGTGTGACAAATTAAATAGTCCTGCAGAAGCAGAACTTGAAGACTCAGCTGCCGCCTGAAACTAGTACTCAATCGTTGCGGGATGGCAAGGCAAGGGTCCACCGCAAAATTTCAAGTTGGGCCTCTGCTGAAGCTTCGGCAGGTCCAACTTGAGTCGCACAGCCTTCAACCTGAAAAAGGACGTTGAATTTCACAAGGATAAACGACAAACGAAAGCATCGCCTTCAGAATGGGATGCGCTTGAGTCATGGCATCTTGGCGTGATGGATCTGCAGGATGAGGCTCAGGGTGTTCCTTCGATCAAGAAGCTGCGTTGGCAAATATTATCTTCTCTGATAATACCCCCGCTACAGTACCACAGAACTCCAAAAAACAGTCAGACTAAGCGTCAAAGGACTTGGGACGCTTGCCGTCTGAATCATTGTCCTGGTCAATGATTATCACGCCCGTGTTGTCATCTAAGCGCCAGTCAGAGTCATCATCGGCTCTTGGGAATCCTCCCACAAGAAACCAGAATGCCCAGCAAATGGACAGCCACCATAGCTTAGCCCCCACCATGAAGCTTTCGATCCACCGCAACTAACGTACCGCCGACTCTGAGGCAGAAATAATGAGGGCATGGCGTGAACCAGACTGACTGCTGGAGAGACTCATGAACCAACACAACAAGCTGCTGGTTCCTCGAGCAAAGAAACGCAGGCATCATCACATCCAAAGCTATCGTGCCCCGAAAATATCGCGCCCCAACTTATTAATTCAGCGTGGCCATAAGTTATAAGCCTTACAATGCACTTTCGATGACAACAAGCAAGCCGGGCTCACACTGCTGGCGTCGAAGTCCATGGGCAGCTATCTAATTAAATCTGATCTAGCTACAGACTGGTGCAATCATTCTGTGTGGAACTGTCTCAAAAAACAGCTCCTTTCTTAATTTCAATAATAAAGAGCGGGGCTACTTGGCAGGAGGCAGCAAGGAAAAATCTGCAATGTGTGTATACTAAGTAACTTCTGAGAAGACATGAGACCAACTCACCATCACAGCTTGCCTAAGATGGACCTGCCAATTACATTCAGGGCATATGCAGCGCAGCAAGGTATCACCAGGTTGCCCAATTCCTGCAATCGTTGCCTGTCATCCTTTGACTGACTCAGGGTCAGCCACGAGACAATCGACGGTGGCTGACGGAAGTGGAAGCACATGTTTGCCTGCCTCTCATGATCCTCTGCGCTCAGGAGCTTTACATCCTGACACATTCAGGCTTCAATTGTCTGTTCAGTCAAAGCAGCATGGGTTATTATGTCAAGCTATTCTTTGATTATCTACCATAACTGGCTTGCAAGCTGGCCTGAAAGAAATCGCGAACGCGGCTGGGCAGGACCGCAAACATGAAAATGCGCTTCCGATTGACCTGAGCAAATGAAGCAAACCACCAGCCCAGGATCAAGAAAATCAAAACAACAAACGAATTCAATGAGCTCTGAACATGAAGCCCGCAATCCTTGCCACTAGCTGTACACCAATACACAGCGAATCCCCGACGGGTAAACTCCTGCATTTTGCTGACTTTTGGTGCTCGCGATGTCAAATCTGAACTTGAAAGCGCTAAAGAATCAGGGTTTAGAAGCTTAGTATTGAAACCCACCAAAATGATAAGTACTGACTGGCGATTGAGCTCCTCCACCGCGAATGTCCAGACTGGACGCATCTGTGAGCTCATCAGGTTGGACACATTCTCCAGAATGCTAAAATACCTAATCAACAATCATGAAACTTTATGTCAAAAAGTATTGAGCGTGAGAATTCCTCAACAATTTAGTTCAAGAACCTGTGGCTTCTAAGTTCACAGGCTGCGTATTGAGTTACACGTTAGGGCAGCAATCCAGTGTGGCAAAAACTTCCCGCACAAGGCCACTGCGAGGATCTTTCAGTCCTTTACGCTTCCCAGCTCCACAGATTCCCTGAGGCAGGCACAACGTGAAACCTAATGTGACTTCAAAGGCAGGTCTGAAGTGTCAAGTGAATGTGTTAGTAAGTCACAAAACGCGTCGAACGATGATTGTCTTAGCAAAGTTTGAAACCAACCTGGCACGGGAAACCACCAATGATGCCAGACGCGCTGCTCGAAATTTCTGGCGATGGCTGAAAGCCAACAATGTCTGGAACGATTGGCCCACGTCCCAAGAAGCCATCGTCCATTCGTCGCTGAAGGATCTGCTGGCAACGCTCGTCTGCTTCCACCTAAAACCAACCCTGCTTCAATTGTCTCATGAAACAACAACCGTTACCAAAATTTCAAGTATAACAAAACCTTCCGCGCATGGCTCCCTCATGGATGGTCGAAACGGGAAAGGCTTGAAGGTGACTAAGTGCCCAACGTAGCAAATGCTCTCACAATACCTCATAGTCAACTGAAATAATTTGTGAACTGAATTTGGACAATCATCCTGAACTTGGATGCCACGCAAAGAAAATGATCTTGACAGACTTGGAGCTTGAAGCAGTGGATGTATTAAGTCGCGTACTCTGAAAGGCCAAGATCAAGGCCGCCAACACCACTGAACAACGAAATCACCTTTTTCCTCGAAGTTGCCAAGCCCGCCTGCCGAAGTTGAAATACGATTACACTGCGAAATATTTTGGGATTGACGAACTAACTCAATATAACAATTCACACCTTGAAGTGGGGGAATAGCCGCAGGAAATCTTCTACGGAGACTGCGTCAGCAGAATCTTGGGTCCAATTTTGCGGCAATCCTCAGCTACATTTGTCAGTTGAATCATTGGCATGTCATCTTGCTTGACAGCAGGTGAAATAATAAGAGCAGGTCCACTCAGAAACTCACCAACAATTGGCGAGACGAACCGGCCAGGTTTGACCCCCTGCTGCTTACATGACGTCTGGAAATAGTCCCAATGCCATACTTGAGTTGCCAGGTCCTGAATCACATGGAATCACTCGGAAAAAATGCGCGATACTAAAAACTATTGTAGTAATCCTGTATAGTATTGAAACGGCAGGCAAGATGAAAGCTGGCTCCTGACACCCCCTAACGGATAAGTGTGTCGTCGTAGCGTGATGCGTACTGCTGAAGCAACCTGGGCCGCGGTGGGAACTGCAAGAAGAAGACTAAGACCCGACAACACAATAATTTGTGATCCTTTCCGACTCTCTCTCACTCTCTGGCCAAGTTCAAGATAAACTAGTAGGCGGTTATTCTCTCTCTACCTCTGTGTCTTTCAAAAGAAGCAACGAATTGTTCCGAAGGCATTCCGGATGATAGGTTTCATCTGCAGCTTTGGGCACCTTCCTCTGGGACATTGTTTGGTCGGCGGAACCTCACACGGCGGCTATGATCTTAGACGGTTTTTGTTGGCAGAAACTGAGACTTCAAAGCAAAATGTTACGCGCCGTCGGGAATCTAGTTTGTGCCCAAGAATCTAGTCTCATGTTCAGAGGACCGCAGTCGGGAGCTGTACCACCAACCCATCCAGGATCGAACTTCCACATGACACTGCTGAAATGGAATGGCAGCACGTATCCGTAATTTGGCACTCGCTTGGATGCAAACAGTGTGCATGCATCAGCCTGGCAGTTGAAAACATTCAA